AGTTTGCAAACATGTCTTCGTGAAGAAAACCTCACATTACTTCAAAATGCAGGACCTCAAGATACGAAAAACTATGTACATTGTCTACCCAATGTCTAAACTAAAAACAATAAATCGGAAAAAATGATTTCAAATTAATATTGAATAAACAGGGTGTTAAAAAAACGCAAAAGGAAATTATCTTTTCAATTAATGAAACTTTATTTTTTAAAAACAATTATTTTATTAAGTAACTGTAAAAAGCTTATAGTTGAAGCAGGCGACTTCCTCTAACCTAGATATTAATTAGAAGTAACAATTTTATTATTACATATTAGATGCAACACTAATCCTAAAAATGCATAATCAGTAAAATACGTTCTCACGGTAACATCTCACGCTTGTCGGTTGTACATTGGTTCAAGGCCATAACTCCTCCCTCCTTAGTGATTCTCGATTCTCTTGTGGCGAAAGAACTTTTATTGTTTTTTTTTGTGTAAATATTTTGTACATATATTTTTCCTATTTTTATTTCTGCAATGTAGAGTACGACTTCTTATCTTTTGCATGCCTTTGCTTCCTTTCTGTTTCTATTCTATTGTCCCTAATCACCTTTACCTAGAAATCTAACTGCAACCGTTTCTGCATGCACCTTGTACTAATAGCTGGCTTTTCCCTTAATTACCTTACCTAAAATTCTATACTGTTCAACTTCGTCAATTCTTCGTATTTCTGTAAGCTCGTGTCTTCAACCCCTATTGCCAGTCTTTGTCTATCTTGAGTATTCTATCTCTTTTTACTAACATTTTCCAACTATAAATACTCCTAACATCCCTATCAGAAATTAATTCATCTGTGTCTCTACATTCAACCGTCTCGTTAGTAAGTCTCTTTTCCTGTTATAAATTGTTATTATTGTCTTTGCTATTGTTATTGTTATTGCTATTGTTATTATTATTGTTGTTGTTATTTCTTTGTGTGTTTTGGCTGTTGTGTTTTATTTTTACCATCTGTTTGTTTTGTTGTTTAATTTGTTGTTGGCATAAAATTTTGGTTAATTGTTTAAATAGTGTTTTTCTTTAATTATTTTTATTAATAATTGTACTAAAGACACTAAAGTGGTGACCCCGAAATTCGTGCAATTAACAAGTTTGTGCCAAATTGAACTAGTATAAACAGAACTATGAACACCGAGAACAGTGCTGCTAGATCGATCGACCGCGTTTCGGTAAAAGTGCCAGTCTTCATCCCGTCGGATCCAGAACTATGGTTTTCCATATTGGAAGGCAGTTTTGACGCTGCGGGAATTGTGCAGGACAACACCAAGTTCGGGTACGCGTTAAGTGGTTTAGATCAAAAATACGCCCTCGAAGTTCGCGACATTATTGTGAAACCGCGCAGCTAATGGACCTACCTTCTGTTAAAAAGTGAACTGATTAAACATATGGGTGCATCACAGGAGCAAAATACAAGACGGCTACTGGAAAATGAACCACTTGGCGATCGCAAACCGACGCAGTTCCTACGTCATTTGCGTAACCTTGCAGGAGGTGATTTCCCCGAAGAAGTTCTACAGACCCTCTGGTTAACACGCCTTCCCAAACATATCCAGGCCTTATTGGCTGCACATAAAGACCTACCACTGGAAAAGAGAGCAGAGATCGCTGACACCATAATAGAAACTTATGGACAATTCAACAACGTGGCTGAGACTTCCACTACAAATACAGCAGTAAACAGCAGGTTAGATTTTTTAGAAAATGCTCTAACCACAGCGCTACAAGAATTGGCTTCCCTGAAAATCAACCGTGAACCGCCACACCAGCCTCGGCGTTTCCGGCCGAGAGCACGCTCGCGTTCGCATTCACGACCCAGGGAAAATAGGGACATTTGCTGGTACCATCTTCGCTTCAGCACTAATGCAAGGAAATGTACCAAACCATGCAGATTCGAAGCCAACACTCCGGGAAACGACGTGGGCAGTCGTTGATGGCGTCAGACGACAGCAGCCCTATACTATCACGCCGATTGTTTATCACCGATGGGTCTACGAAGATACGTTTCCTTATCGACACTGGTGCCGACCTCTGTGTGTTCCCGCGTTCGGAACTTCCGGAACCACGGGAGAAATCGAATTATGAACTTTCCGCTGCCAACTGTACCATCATCGCAACGTATGGGACACTCACATTAACCCTGGACCTCGGACTTCGACGACAGTTCACGTGGCGATTTGTCGTGGCTGACGTCTCGAAGCCAATCATCGGCGCCGACTTTTTGTCACACTTTGGTTTGCTGGTGGACATGAAGAATAAACGTCTCCTGGACTCAACCACCCATCTTACCTCCCAGGGGAAGGTAATTGAGTGCGAGTCACCGTCCATAAAGACTGTTTCTGGTTCGTCATTATTCCACGACTTGCTACAACAATTTCCGGGAACAACCCGACCAGGAGGCACTCCTGAGTTTACGAACCATTCCACGAAACATCACATTATCACCACTCCCGGACCACCTGTAGCGCAACGACCACGACGACTCGCTCCCGACAAGTTACGTGCTGCGAAAAAGGAATTCGAGGCTATGGTCAAGTTGGGTATCGCTCGTCCTTCCAAGAGTCCCTGGGCATCACCGTTGCACATGGTTCCTAAAACAGGAGATGAATGAAGACCTTGTGGCGATTATCGTGCCCTCAACGCCAGGACGTGCCCTGATCGATATCCGGTCAAGCACATTCAGGACTTTTCGCAGACGCTCAGCGGAAAGACTATATTCTCAACTATAGACTTAGTACGTGCGTTCAACCAGATCCCTGTTGCAGAAGAGGATGTTCCTAAAACAGCCATAACGACACCCTTTGGCCTCTTCGAATTTACACACATGAGCTTCGGTCTACGTAATGCTGCGCAAACCTTCCAGCGATTTATTGATGAAGTTTTGCAAGGCCTAGAATTTTGCTATGCCTACATAGACGACATTCTAGTTGCTTCGGTGTCATTGGAAGAACATCTGGACCATCTGCGGACTCTATTCGGGAGACTACAAAAATATGGAGTAGTCATCAATCCATCCAAGTGCGTATTCGGTGAATCGGAAGTCAAATTTCTTGGCTACCGTGTCTCCGGAACCGGCACACACCCGTTGCCCGAAAAAGTGAGTGCAATTCGATCCTTTCCGCTCCCGCAGACCGTCAAGAAGCTTCGCCAATTTCTTGGCATGGTAAATTTCTATCGGAGGTTCGTCCCGAAGGCAGCGGAAATACAAACGCCACTTAACGATCTTCTACAAGGCAACGTTAAGGGAAATCATCCAGTAACTTGGACCCCAGAAGCTACTCAGGCATTCGAAGCTTGCAAAGAATCCCTGTCGCAAGCTACGCTGCTTGCCCACCCGAAGATGAACGCAACCTTGGCAATTTTTACCGATGCCTCGGACTACGCCGTCGGAGCTGTTCTACAGCAGCTCGTGGACAACAATTGGCAGCCTTTAGATTTCTTTTCTAAGAAATTAAGTCCTGCCGAGTTAAACTACGCTGCTTACGACCGCGAGTTGTTAGCAATTTATCTCGCGGTAAAACACTTCCTGTATATGGTGGAAGGTCGGACATTCACTATCTTTACAGATCACAAACCGATCGTATATGCCTTCCGGAAAAAGCACGACCAATGTTCTCCACGACAAGTCCGACATCTTGACTTCATATCCCAATTTTCGAGTGACATCAGACACATTTCCGGCGCGGATAATGTTGTCGCAGATACCTTGTCCCGTATAGAAGAGCTCACGCCGAAGCACAAAAAACGGACCCTGAATTGAAGGAATTCCTCAACAATGATTTCTCACTGAAGTTGAAGCTCCTACAACTACCAGGCACCGACACATCAGTTTTTTGTGATGTTTCCATCGCGCCGCCCGTCCGTTCATCACAAAAGGTTTTCGTAGAGCTGCATTCCACTCCACCCATGACCTTTCCCACCCGGGGATTAACGCGACGGTCAAACTTGTGACGAAACGTGACATTTGGCCGTCCGTCAAAAAGGATGTCAGACAGTGGGCCCGCTCCTGTGTACCGTGTCAACGCTCGAAGGTTTCTCGACACGTATCTGCTCCCGTAGGTACATTTCCACCAACATCAGCGAGGTTTGACCATGTACACATCGACATTGTCATCATGCCGTCGTCAGAAGGATGCAGGTACTGCCTTACGATGGTTGATCGTTACTCCAGGTGGCCTGAAGCAGTCCCTATCCCTGACCAGGAGGCAGCAACCGTCGCTCGCGCGTTCTACAGTAATTGGATCGCCAGATTTGGGACTCCGTTACGTATCACCTCCGACCAGGGCAGACAATTCGAGTCGTACGTTTTTAAGCAGTTAAACCGCTTATTAGGTACGTCTCATCTTCGAACCACGGCTTACCATCCCTCATCCAACGGCATGGTAGAACGGCTCCACAGACAGCTTAAAGCAGCCATAATGTGTCACCAGACCAGTTCCTGGACGCGAACTCTGCCGACCCTTCTACTAGGGATTCGTTCTGCCTGGAAAGAGGACTTGCAAGCCACCACAGCGGAGCTATTGTACGGAGAGACGTTACGACTTCCTGGGGAATTTTTAGGATCACATCCCGATTTTAAAACCCACGAGGACGCCTCCGAATTCGTCAAGGAACTCCGTACAATACAACAACAGTTACGACCGACCCAAGAACGACGCCATGGGGATAGAAAAACCTTTATCTTTAAAGACCTTGGTACGACGAATCAGGTTTTTATTCGCCGAGGTGGCCCGAAGGAATCTCTACAGCAACCCTACGAAGGTCCTTATCCTGTCGTCCAACGTGCGGACAAAACCTTTGTCGTCAACGTCAAAGGCCGTGACGTAACGGTATCAGTCGATCGACTCAAACCGGCCTACGTCATTGCAGAACCACCAGCCACTTCAAGAAACGAAGACATCCCTGCAAGCGTTGAAATGCCACCACAGCTGCCCTCCAGCGAGCCGACCATTACCAACTAAACAACTAGGGCTGGAAGGCGAGTTCGTTTCCCAGATCGCCTACAGGCAGGTTTCCCGTAACGTTCTGTTACTAGCAGGGGGGTACTGTGGCGANTAATTTGTTCGAAAAGTAACTTATTTAAAAGACAGTTAACGTCGGTTTTATTTTCAAAGAATGAAATAAATCTTTCCGACTGTTTAATAAAATAGGCTAGGTTTTTGGAACCACCTGAATATTCAGGAATCATATCCTTAGCTAAATTTAATTCTAATTGTGAGGGCTGAGCCATTTTAATATTTTGTTTAACTGAAGTAAATGTAGTATTACTTAAACCAAGTAGTTTTCGTTTCAATGCCCCTAAAGTTTCTAAATCAGAATCGCTATCTGAACTTGTAGAATTGATAGGAGTTCTATCTCTATACATTTAACGTACGTATTAAAGGGATACAATGGAATTACTTAAAAAGGAATGCAAAGACTTACAGGCTAGCTGATAAAAACATCCTTGTGGTCTCCTCCAACAGGCGGGGTCGATGTCCAAGTTTGTCTATCAAATTCGGCAGGGGAAATCCTCTCGATTGAAGATGATTCTTGTAACAACAGGCACAAGCAACGCTATGATCACTATTGATATTCACGTAACACTTTATGCTCGACGTTTTCGTATCCGCAACAAAGAGTTGAAACTCACGACTTTCCGAATTATTCGCTATGAATTATTCTGTAGTTAAAGTCTCTGCGGATCCTGTTCGCAGCGCCAATTATCTTTTCAATTGATGAAAAGTTATTTTTAAAAACAATTATTTTATTAAGTAACTACAAAAGCTTAAAAGTGAAGCAGGCGACTTCTCTAATCGAGAGACTAATAAGAAGTGAACAATTTCATTATTACATATTAGAAAGATGCAACACTAATACCAAAAAATGCATAATCAGTAAAATACGTTCTCACGGTAATATCTCACACTCGTTGTTTGTATATTGGTTCAAGGACATAACTCCTCCCTCCTTAGTGATAGAATCGTCCTCGATTCTCATATTACGACAACGGTGAATTCTGACCTTCGATGACGTCTTCTTTGGCTACTGATTTATTTTTTATAGAGCAACATAATTTGTACTTTGCAATTATGAAAAATATTATAATAGTTAAAATAACAAACAATACAGATATTGAAATGTGCGTTAAATGGACAACTGGATGGACTTTACAATTCGGCAGTAATTGAACAGCCTCATTTTTTAACTCTTGAATATCATTTAAATGTCTTTGTTTTAAAAAGACCGTTTTACTTATTTTTAAATCCAATTGTTCCATTTTAGGAATTTCTACACTAAAGTTAACAAACGTATTTTCAAATATTTGGTTTGCAATAATAATTTTACATTCATCACCAGAGCGTATAATAACACTGTTACGAACGTTAAAATGTTTAAATTTGCTTCCACACATCTCGGTTACCGTAATTTCATTTTTACTCACTCTAGCACAACATTATTATCTAATTGTGTGTATAACGTATAATTATTAATCACTTGACCAAAGGTACACAAACTTAAATTACTTAAACAACACCCGTCATTCACATGTTTGTTTCGGCACAACACTATATTTTTGATAGTTGGGCATTTTTCGTTGGTCCAAATATTTTGAGGTCCAGCTAGTTAATATTTCGCTGGGGGTAGTGGCGTTTGGTCGTTTGCATTAGGGATAGGATATATTTTATGGTACGTATATGGCAAAGGATTTAGAATAGGAATGTATAATACGTACGTGATTGTATCTCCCACAAATAAAAAATTTAGAAAATTCAATTATTTCGAATAAATAGTCAGAATTAATCGTAATTAATTCATCGTTCTTGTAAATCTCTGTTAAATGATTAGTTATCTCTAAAAGCTCTGATGTTGTCAAAAGTTCCAAGTTTGTAATTTCATTGAATGCTAAGGAGATGGTTCTTTCTGATACAAATAGGAAATTTAATAGTTTTTGACTTAAGTATATATTATACTCGATGGCTGCTTGAATGTTTATATTATTTTTGATTTTATCTAGGTGATAAAGAGAAGTATCGAGACTCGTTTGTATTACTTTCAAATCATTGGCATATCTGTTGGTTAGATGTTTTCCTGGTTTTTATAGAGAGAATCTAAATTTTTGTTAATTTCAGCTAAATCGTTGCTATCAGAGTTTCCGGTGATATATTTAATAGCTGTACCTAGGAAATGAATTAACCCTCTCTTTGTTCTGCGCTTTAGTTTCCTAATCTGACTTTTAATTAGATAGCAATTATCCTTTAGACTCAACATTAATTTTTGTTTTGACCCTCCACCTGTTACGACATCTATAACTGCTACATTTTCTATAAGTGCTGCATAACTTAATTCTACACGAGTAATATTAAAATAAAAATAGAACTTATGATAGTGTGACAAAAGTTTGGCAGATCCTAGCCCTTCCAAATAATAACCTGGGGAATTAATCTGGTCTATGACTAGGCCCTGGTTGGGGATCGTCAAGATGAGGATCCTGTAAAGAAGGAAATTTTTTCTTAAAAGGTCTTAAAGCTCTGATATGCGCGTTAGTTGGTCGCTTAGAAATTTTTCCTTCAATCTTTTTGTTATCTACTTTTTCTACTTCTAGCTTCTGAAATTTTGGAGTATCCTTTCTTGCCCTAGATTTTCCTGTATATAAACTACAGGTTCATTAACTTCTACTGTTTGTCTTCTATTTTGATTAACCTTTTCTAGCTGTTTATTTCCTTTGTCTAATTGCCTATGATATACTTGTTCGAAAAATGGAATAATTTCTTTTCTCCTGTTTTCATTATATTGTTGATAAACTGTTTTATCTAAATCAACCTCGTATAAATGCAAATTATCGTAAGGTCCATACAAAAGATCAAACGGAGTATAACCAGTAGAGGTATGTATTGATTGATTATAAATTAAAATTGCGCTAATCATTAAATTTTGTGGGGTTTCATAGGGATTTTCCAAAGATAATGTTCTGATCTTTTCTAAGATGGTAGAATGGAAGCGTTCAATGGGTGAATTTGAAGTACTATTGTCAACTGTAGTAATATGTAATTCGATTTTTAAAACCGAGCAATATTCTTTTAAAATATAGTTTGTGAATTCATTACCTGAATCTGCAACAATTTTTCGGGGATGGTTGTGGTGTGAAAAGTAATGTCTCAATTTATTCATTATGGTAATACAAGTTACATCGGGTACATAATAAGCCTGGGCATATTTTGTAAACAAATCGATTATGATAAGAAATTTATTAGAGTTAGATTGGAAAATGTCGATGTGAATAATTTCAAACGGACGTTTAGTTAACAAAGATCCTGAAAACGCAATTTTCTGGGGCTGCCTTTCATATTTTGCTTGTGGGCAAGTCTCACATTCGTTTATTATTTTGTTTATACGTTCTTTCATTTTTGACCAATAAAATTGTCTTTTCAGATGTTTGTATGTCTCTTCGATTCCGTTGTAATTTAATCGATGATAGTTATTAATAATTTCGTGTTGTTTGGGAGCTAATCGTCCGCGATCAATATCAGGCACTCTCACTACAACACTAGTACCGATTTCAGCCGGTGTAAATTTTGAATTGGACAATGCTAACATTTTTTCCGCTAGTTTTTTCAAATTATTTTTTGCATTGTTTTGTTCAGTGCGAATAGATCTTTTCCTGTCACAAATGTTGCAAACAGTTGCTTGTCCAAGGGTTTGGACCCTTCGCTTGTTGACTTTCCACAAATCACATGCACAAAGTTGTCACATTCTGAACATTTGTGTGCTCCTGAAGATTCTTTTTCGCAGATTATGCAGTACACTTTACTTGAGTCTTCGACGTTCTCCTTGTTCTCATCGCAATCCCCAACGTCGTCCAGCGACTGCAGTTCTGTATTAATAATATCTCCCTTTTCAGAAAGTTAAACAAGAAGCGGAGTTTCTAATACTCACTGATCATATTTCAGGGCAAGAAGATACGTTAGATCCCTAAATTTTAAGAATAGAGAATTGGTTTCTATATCCCAAAAGATGTGAGTGAGGTTCTCTGGCAGTGGCCCTTCTTCACTTGCTCAAAGTTAGTAGTGAAAACTGAGAAGACCAGGAGAATAATAATAACAAAATAAATAAATTCATTTACAGGTGCTACAATTAGTTTACAACTAAGGTATATTTTGTTGGAATTATTAGTTTCACTACTGGTGAGGCCAACATGAATCCAGCTATTTTTGATGAATCTCAAACTACCCAGTTGACAGCTGTTGTAGTTAATCAATGTATGAATTCAAATTTGGATAAACAACCAGAACAGGATGCAATTCAATGCAATGCAACCCATAAGCAACACACAAAATTTGAAAGACAGACCACCTGAAGAAAATAATGATTCCATACACATGGAAAATGAACAAGAATACGATAAATTGAAAAGTGTTTTTTTAGAAAATTGATCAAACATGAAGGCATGGACCTAACTATTAGGCCAATGATTCCCAAATTACAAGGGAACGGGATTAAAGTTCTGACAACTGTTAAAATTTTAAACTTACTAATACAAAGTATGTTACAGAATATATCAGAACCCAGTCTAGAAAATATTGTTGACATGATCTATGCCGGGGAATTAACATCAACAAGCATATTGAACAAACCAAATTCATATAAGAAATCTCAAGAAAAACGGGCATGGGAAAAGCGCTTAGAAAATAAAATTAATACATTAAGAAAGAAAATAGCTCAAGCAACACAATAAATATTGGGAAACATAAGTGAAAAGAAACGAAGATAATTAAACCCAACCAACAGAAGTACTGATGAAGTTAAAGAAGAAATAGACACAATGAAACAAAAATTACAGGCAAAAGCTAAGAGACTAAGACGATATCGAAAATCTAATTAACGGAAAACTGATAACAGGATGTTTAACACAAATGAAAAACTTTTTTGAAGATCTCTTGAATGTCAAAAGGTTGTAATCAAGGATGGCCCAAGAATTGAAGCTATTACTGAATTTTGGTCAAATATATGGTCAAAACCTATAGAGCACAACAAGAACGCAAATTGGATTTACGAGGAAGAAGAGCGAGTAAGAAGTGTAATTCCAATGCCTGAAATAGACATTACGCTAGATGATGTCAAAGAAGCAATCCGAAAAATTCCTAATTGGAAAACACCAGGATGTGATAAATTACAAAATTTTTGGATTAAAACTTTTACAGTTACACAAATATATCTTACTAATATTTTCAACTCATACATGAGGGATCCACAAATGACCCCACTTTTTTTGGCAGGCGGCATAACTTATCTTAAACCTAAAGATAATGAAACCACAAACCCAGCTAAATACCGTCCAATCACCTGCTTACCAACAATATATAAACTGCTTACATCTATAATCACAAGAAGATATATACACATATATTTCAAAATAAAATAATAACCGAGGAACAAAAGGAGTGATACAAAGGAGGTAGAGGTTCTAAAGAACAGTTAGTGATAGACTCAGAAGTACACACACAATGTAGACGGCGAAATAGAAATTAATATTATGCCTATATTGACTATCAAAAAGCCTATGATAGTGTTCCACACTCTTGGTTACTTCATGTAAAACAAATACACAACTAGGTTAAACAAAATACTTAAAACACTTCTGTCAGGTAGAAACAAAGTTAAAGCTATTAACACATATGCCATATCGGTACTCACTTACTCCTTCGGGATAATTCGTTGGTCTGATACTGATTTATACTCTCTTAATAGTCTAACTAGAACTAAGTGCAACAAATACAACATGCACCACAAACACTCTGCTATTGAAAGGTTTACAATCAAAAGACAGTTAGGAGGAAGAGGAATAATTGATATTAAAAATCTACATTATAAACAGATTATTAATTTACTGTCATATTTTAGAGTAAGAAGTGCTGATAGTTCATTACATAATTCAATCTGTGTCATTTCAACCTCTGGTACATCACTAAATCTTAGTGATGTAGATTTTAATCCTGAGGACAAAATTATGAAAGAAAACTTAAAAATTGAAATGTGGAAATCAAAAGTGCTTCATGAAAAATACCCGAACCAACAACAGCAGGAACATGTAGATAAAGCAGCTTCTAATATGTGGTTAAAAAAAGGAAACATATTCTCAGAAACTGAGGGATTTATGACAGCGATTCAGGACAAAATAATAAAAACAAAAAACTATGTAAAATATATTATTAAAAATCCCACAATTTCATCAGACGCATACTGAGCATGTAACACATCTCGCGAAACAATTGGCCAAACGGGGGGTTGCTCATTTTTAGCTAGCCGACAATACCTCGACAGGCATAATAATGTTGCTAAACAGATACACTCGCTGTTAGCCAAAAAGTTTTAACTATAGCCGTACTATAAATACAAACCACAAAATGTATTATAAAACCACTTTGCCCAGCTTTATTGGGAGAGAGACGTAATTACAGATAAAATAGTTAATCATAACAGACCTGATATCACACTGACCATCAAAGAAACTAAAACGACCTACCTAATAGATGTTGCTGTACCAAACACTGAAAATCTTAAACAAAAACATATTGAGAAAATTCAAAAATATATTCCTTTAGCAGATGAAATAAAAGGCATGTGGAACCAGAACAGTTCGAATTATTCCAATAATAATATCATCAACAGGCGTTATACCTAAAACATTACACGCTAGCCTAGCCGAGTTGAAACTGCATAAGTTTTCGTACCTACATAAGTCTACAGAAATCCGTAATCCTTGATACATGCGGAATACTGCGCAGATTTCTTAACAGTACTGACATATCCCCCTTTTCAGAAAACACAACAGGTTAAATAAGAAGCGGAGTTTTTAATACTCACTGATCATATTTTAGGGCAAGAAGATACGTTAGCTCCCTAAATTTTAAGAAAAAGAAATTGGTTTCTATATCCCAAAAGATGTGAGTGAGGTTCTTTGGCATTAGCCCGTCTTCACTTGCTCAAAGTTACCAGTGCAAACTGAGAAGACCAGGAGAATAATAACGATAATAAATTATCCCTTTTGATAAAAAATAAAGACCATTGATTTACCATTGTTATTATTGATATTTTTCAACAATTCTTCAAGCTCTTCCTCAGTTTCGATGTTTGAATAAACATTTTCAGTCAAAGGAGAGTCGGCAAGTCTAGCTATTTGCGGGCTTCCAAACATAGCTTCGTAAGGACTCATTTTGATTCCAACGTGGAGGGCACGATTTTTTTTACTTTGAATAAAGCGCAACCCCTCAGACCAATTTTTTGGTCTATTGTCAGCCATCCAAGATACCAGCATCTCACGTACATCTTGATTTAATCTTTCCACAAACCCTTGACTTTGGGAATGTCTTGGTTTTCCATGAACAAGTTTCATTCCAGGCCATAGTTCAGTCATGTTTTTTATAATTTTGTTGGAAAATTCTCGGTCATTATCACTCTGGAGGGTAAATGGCGCCCCAAATATGCAAAAAATGTCAACAAGGTAATAAACAACTTCCTCAGCTGTTTTGGTCTTCAGTGGACGTAGAAGTGTGAATTTAGTCAGGTGGTCTTGGTAATTCATGATGAAGCGGAAAGGGCCATCTGGTTCCGACTGCATATCTATAAGATAGATGGCAACGACAATTCATGTAATTGGAAAGAATAGGACGAACAACTTATCCTTTTTTGGGATCTTTTTTTTCAATTGACATTGTTCACAGGTTGACAGGAACAGATCAATGACTTCTCTGGTAATGTTGCAGTACTTCTTTTTCAATTCACTTTCCATAACTACAACAAACAAATTTTTACATGAAATTATAAATCCCGTATCACATTACAGCTTCAGATTTTAATTTTACTACTACTTTTGCTGTTTTTGCTTATATTATTTTCTCACCTCTTGTTCTCTTATGACCAACATCAATATGAGCTTTTTTCAGTGCATCGTACAACTCATCGTATCTGCAATAATATATGATCGGTGCACTGGCAACCAATCGTTTCTGAATTAATTTTTCTGTCTCGTTCATCTTCACAATGTCAAAACGTTTAAGTCGTCTGTAGTCCTTTGAAGTTAAAGACTCCTGATTTTTGCGCGCATTTTATGCATGCTTAAGTTCTCGTACAAGCAATTCGTACCTTTCCTCAGACAGCAACATAGATCTATCGTCACAACTATCAATAATTGGTTTTACTTTATCATAAAAAATTTCTTTCGCTGATTTATCGGATATTTTAATGAAAGTGAAACTTTTCAAACGACTTTAGTAAGTTGTTTAGTCAATGACAGACTGACCTTCTCGCTACACTGACGAGAACTGTACTGATTTTTCATAAAGTCAAGTTAGTTATTATATACTCAAAATCAATACCTCCCCTAGGGATTATTAGATATAATTGTAATGGAACCCTTCCCGAAAAGTTAATTTCTAAACCTCCTTTATGATCACATAATTCATTGTCATATAGTGTCATCGGTACGTGCATTGTTATAAAATCGCCGAAAAGATCATACAAATTACAAAGGATCATAAATGTACTGTACTGGAATGATTATAAAGGAAAGTTGTACATTTTTAGTACCTTCAGTTTATAATAATAGCTAATAACAGTACACCTGTTGTTTAGATAAGTTGACAAATTCTTAAAATTACAAAAAGTTATTAAAATTTCATCCCTTCATATATTATATGCTCGGCAATATAAGTGTTCAGTGTAACTTTCTTCCTAGAATTGAAAAACAATTATAAGAAATTTAATATTGTTGAAATGATTCGGCGAGAAAAACCGAACCCATGTTTGGTATCCAATTATAGTTGTCAATAATTGAATTGTTTCCTAAAAACTGAAAAATGGATTGAAACTCATTTGTTTTATAAGTACAATATAAATCTCATTGTACGCAGGTAGAAAGCGGCAAATAATACAAGTCGAACATTAAGAACGCGTTGTGAGCGTTCAACAATTGACAAAACGCGTTCTGGCTGTTTAACAGTTACCAGAACGCGGTGCGAGCCTTTGAAAAGAGCCAAAACGCGTTCTCTGCGTTCGAAGGCAGCCAGAACGCGATGTGGCCGTTTTTTCCGGCTACTGAACGTTTTCGGTCTTCGGGCCTAACATATCGTCTTTTTCATTCCCTTGTCTAATATATATTTCGTAGGTATATTTTTGAAATGGCCGCGTAAGTTTCAAAACACGGATGAAAACCAAAAATTAATCGGTGTAGAAATTCATTAACCGGTTTTTCAGAAATTGGTACTGAACAAATAGTGTCTTCGGCCGCAGTATGCTGCGTTTCTCCTCCATCGTTTTTCAAGATTTCGTCTAAATCGGTCGGATCTAAAACATCTTCGATATCGACATTGGGTAAAATTTAGAGTAGATCGGTATCATCTGTCGCGATTTCCCGCATGTTAAGTTCCACTCTGGATAAAGCATCAACGTTAGAATTTTCTCTACCTTTTTTGTACTTGACCTCATAGTCGAATTCTTCTAATTTTAACTTCCACTTCACAAGACGTGAATGGGGTTCCTTGAGTTTGAAAATCCAACGTAAAAGTTCATGATCGGTTTCAGTTATAAATTTTTTTCCATAAATATAGGGCCGAAAATGTTTTGTCGTGTCTATTATTGCCAAAAGTTCTCGCTCAATAGTCGAGTAGTTACGCTCAGCTGAATTGAGTGTCCGGAAATAGTAAAGTATTGATTTGTCGTTTTGGGATAAACTGACGTCAGTGGTAACTGTAAATTGTTCTGTGAAGTCAGGCTATTGAAGTATAGGAGCGTTGGTTAGAAGTTCTTTACACTTATGAAATGATTCGATATAGTTCGGATTATTAACATCTATGACAGTTCCCTTTTTTAAACAATTGGTAAACGGCTGGACAATTTTGGCAAAATTTTTGATAAAGCGTCGATAGTAACCTAGTAGTCCTAAAAAGCTTTTAATTTCCTTGTTTGTTTTCGGCAATGGGTAGCGTTGGACGGCCTTAATTTTTTCCGGGTTCGGTTTTATACCTTGAGGTGTAACAACATGACCCAAGAATGCAACCTCCTTCCTCAAAAATTCCGATTTATTAAGTTGAACCTTTAAATTGAACTGTTTTGATTTTTCAAAAATCAATTTTATGTGAATGAGATGGTCCTGCAGAAATTATGACTATGTCATCCATGTACGCATAACAGAATTTATAGAGGTATTCTTTAAAAATGTTGTCCATAACTCTTTGGAACGTCGAAGTTGCATTTTTGAGGCCAAAAGGCATTCTTAAGTATTCATAGTGTCCGTTGTTCACACTAAACGCGGTTTTCTCAATCGATTTCTCTTCTACTTCAACCTGATGGAAACCTTGTGCCAAATCCAATGTACTAAAATAAACACATCTGCCTAAATTAACCAAAATTTCTTCAATTCTTGGAAGAGGGTATTTATCCTCGATCGTTCTATCATTCAACTTACGGTAGTCTATAACTAACCTACATTGTTTTCTACCTGACGCGTCCAGCTTCTTCGGAACGATCCAAACCGGTGACGAGTACGGCGAAATAGATGGCCGAATAATTTTGTTGTCCAATAACTTCTGCCGATTCCCTATAAAGTTCATAAAACTAACTTGCTGTCTATTATTAGTAGTCTTTACCACATTCACAGGGTATACGGTAAACTCCTGGTGTTAGTAGTGGATCTAGAGGGTCCTTTGCTGATCGTAGATCATTTTGAATCTTGAATTTAGAACGCCGGGATTCTACAATCTAGAAGGGAAGGGAAGCTCTAGAAATTGAACAACATCGTAACAACATAAACAGAGATGATGGCTTACATATCAGCAAAGCTTGGAAACCGACATTGAAAAAATAAACAATGTGCTACCAACCGAAGAGGACCGAATCAACATAAAAATAACATGGACGCAGTGAACCATAAAACAACTTACCGTAACGACTCCATTTTAAGAAGGGTAACCCGTTCTCAAACTGCATCAGTTACGACTCAGCACCTGCCCAGTCACTACTGAAGTTGCCGTCAGCAAAGAACGGCGAAACGTCTGGAAAGGCAAGATTCCACGGACCATGGCCAAAAACCCCAGAAGAAAACACAGCATCAATAGACGTCGGCCGTGAAAGCCCAAGAACTACTTAAACCAAGTGTTTTCGTTTCAATGCCCCAAAAGTTTTTAAATCAGAATCGCTATCTGAATTGATAGTAATTCTATCTTTATACATTTAACGTACGTATTAAAGGGATACAATGGAATTACATAAAAAGGACTGCAAAGACTTACAGGCTAGCTGATAAAAGCATCCTTGTAGTCTCCTCCAACAGGCGGGGTCGATATCCAAGTTTTCTATCAAATTCGGCAGGGGAAATCCTCTCGACTGAAGATTATCCTTGTAATAACAGGCACAAGCAACGCTATGATCACTGTTGATATTCACGTAACACTTTATGCCCGACGATTTTCGTATCTGCAACAAAGAGTTGACTTTCCGAATTAGGCCAATTAATGAAACCTTATTTTTTAAAAGCAATTATTTTATTAAGTAACTACAAAAGCTTAAAATTGAAGCAGGCGACTTCTCTAATCTAGAGACTAATAAGAAGTAACAATTTTATTATTACATATTAGAAAGATGCAACATTAATCCTAAAAATTCTTAATCAGTAAAATACGTTCTCACGGTAACATCTCACGCTCGTCGGTTGTACATTGGTTCAAGGACATAACTAAGATGGTTTCGTTTAAAGGCAATACTGTTAAATTTAGGTCAAATCGAAATAAGTTATAGGATATACATTATGCTGTATACTACTCAGAGAGACCAATTGAAACTATACTTAACCAGTACGGTGGTGACAAAGCTGAAGCCATCTTTTCAAATGGCATTATACAGGGAGTGACTAAAATAAGTGCGGAATTTAGAGTCGCATGGGAAATACAGCAGTGTGACTAATTGACAAAAAAATTAGATGAAATAAAGTTACAATCTGAAGCCGTTCCAGAGATGATTTAAGATCTTGGGTATAGTACAACTAAATCTTTGACTACAAATTGCGATAAGGACTGAGCAGCTACACAGGATTGGAATATAAACTAAACAGTGCCGCTTGTTCAACGCCTAAAGTAAACATAAACAACAAACGACACATTATCGCTTACTTATCGACGAGCTATTGATTCCGAGAATGGCAGTAAATACACACATACGTATACTACAAAAATTGTTCGACATTAGAACCACGGCCCGCACATGATTAACATAGTGCAATAGCGTTTGACATACGCGCTATTTTATACAATCCCATACAAAGAAGTCCTGCGGGGTTATATCAAGACTACCAAGGATGCGTTTGTCTGTGCGATTTAGCACTACTTCCAAATACGTTTTTCTTGAAAACGGTGAAATTCCGACCTCAAGCATTTAAATAATTTCCTTGCTTTATAGTGGCGTATCACCTTCTGCAAGCTCCACACTTAAATAAAAATATGTATTTTAAAGAATAAAGATAAACATACAATAAAATTTAACAACATAACTAACTTGCTTTATACCTTTATGAAAATTTGCTACAGCTGGCAG